ATCCCTGGGCAGGGAATTGTCTCTGGCTCCAGGTGTTCTATGAACTTCTAGCAACTCAGACCCCTCCCTGACAAGGATTCCCCTTCAGCTGAGCCCTCCTCAGCACTGTCTCCCCCTCTGGTGTAACCCACATCTATGGTCCCACAGTGCCTCCCAGTGGCCACAGGTGCTCAAGCTCATGGATTCCCCTCCTGTGAGGGAATCAGAGTAGACATTCCTCCACCAACCAGATGCCCAGCTCTGCATTTACTGCTCTCTCAGCCTGGCTGCCTAAAGGCTGATCTTTAACTCCACCCTTAGATTGTGTGAACTTATTGTATGAACCAGCATTTTGGTTAAGAAGGGAGTGATTATTACACCACTGCAATTAGGATGTGATGGTGGAAAACACCGTGCAGAGATGCAGGCCATGAAAACCATGTTTCCAAACGCAGCTGCTCCTGATCACAGATGAGATGATCGACTGTCCCTGAGGGCGATTTTGCTGCTAGTGTCCAAAACCAAGAATTGAGTCAAGGATGTGTCTGAGACGAGGTCTCATCCTGCTGTCTCCACTGGCCCCTCGTTCTAACCAGAGCTCCTGGTGTCCAGGCTACTCCAGCATCACAGAAGCTCATGAAGAGACAGAGCCCCCCAGTGCCTATGGGGGACTCTGTGTGTCCCCTTGATGAGAAATTTCCTAGTTAGGGTCTGGAAATATGATCCAAGTATCATGGTTAGGGGACAATTCACGCTGGCCTGGTGTACAGGGGATACACCAACTTTACCTACTAAACATTATTTGAGGGGAAGAAAGTGTTGAGGGTCAAGTCAAGGGTGACACCGTGTGAGCAGATGTCAGGCCTTAGGATCCACGCTGGGCTAGTAGGTGTTGCGCTACCAGGTGGAGGGAATCGGCATTTCCCAGATACCATTTCCTTTACATCCTGGTCTAGAGTGTGTCAAGGAGGGACTTGTGCAAACTTCATTATGTGGAGTCACAGCATTTGCCTTATAAGATTAACATTGAGTGAAGATGAAAAATAAGCAGACAAGAAGATGGGAAATTTCACCATTCTACCATTAAGTCCACAGGCTCCACGAGAGCCGAACACAAGATATTGAGCTCCTCAGTGAGGAGGGAGAGCACCTGGGGAGCAGGTGTGGGGCTGCGCTGCCCAGAGCAGGAGTGAGCCTCTTCTGGAAGGAAGAGTCCATGTCCAGGCCGGGGAAACAGACCCAGACTCTGAGATAAGAAGGGGTGATGGGTGAGGACAGGGGGCTGGAGCAGAGAGGCCAGGTGAGCTGTGCAAGATAAATCAGTAGCCACGGGGGCATCTGCCCCCAGGGCAGCTGAGGGGTGACTCACTCACCCAGGTTCACACCGACTGCAGGGACCCCTATTTTAGGATTCCCTGAGCTCAGAGTCTGCAAAGGGCTCTGCTGTGTCCCGGAGTGCAGGGCCCCCGCCTTCTTGTGCAGAGAGGAGGTGAGCCTGCAGCACTGTGCATAGCTGGTGGCACAGAAGTACACAGCTGTCCGGGAGGTGTTGGCAGGCTCCAGCATGAGCAGGAATTTGTTACTATTTTCTCTGTAGACTTTGTACCCCTCAGTGATGTCTCCCTCATATAAGGTACCAGAAGAAGAGGTATAACAGATCAGTCTCAGTCCTAGTCCCGGGTCCTGGCGATACCAGTACATGTAGTCATGGTTCATATCCTGTACACAACTCAGGTTGCACCTCTGTTCTGTCCTCAGGATCTGGAATCTGGGGTCCTGAGAGATCCTAGCATTCACCACACCTGTGCACAAGGAGATGAAGCTGATGGAGCTGCAGACATAACGGAGCGACTGAGCACTGAGGCCTTGACAGTGTCCCCCAGGACAGGGGCCCTGCCCAGGACTCACCTGCCTGCAAGAGACCCCAGACCCCCCAGCACAGGAGGGGGACACTCATGGCAGAGATCAGAGACTGCTGGTCCTGGGGCTGTGGGTGCTGATGAGAGGGGAGCAGGGCTGTGAGGGAGTGTTGTGAGATGTCACAGCCCTCCTGGCCCAGGGCCAACCTGTAACAGGGCCACGCCCCTCCCTGGGCTCCAATGCAAAATGTCCAGAGAGCAGCTCAGAGTGGGAGGAGCAGCATCTGAATCCAGGGCTCCCAAGGGGTCTGAACTCTCCATCAGTCAGTTGATAGCTGCATGTAGATTTCCTTCCTATGCTGTAACTCTTCACAGTACACTGACATTCTCATCTAGATTCTCTGTAGTTTCTCTTGTAGGAAAATCCTGATGTGATCCTGATGGTTTTTATGACTCCTGTGCCCCAGCTGCTGCCAATATTGTGTTTGAAATTTAAGTCTGGCCCATCCTTCCTGTCCTTCCACCCCCAGAGTCCCCTACTATCTGGTCCAAGCCCCAGGGCAGGAGCTCCAGCAGTTCACACTCATTTTGCTGTTTCCTGTAAGTCACTGACCCGGGACACTGGCCTGGGCTCACATGATTCCTGTTTCTAATCTAAGTCTCTCCTGACGTTCAGTCCAGGGTAAAACCACAGGGCCCGGGTCTGGGCGAGGCAGCACCCTCAGGGCTGGCATGAAGGGCAGACACTGAAGCAGAAACTGAGGGGGCCCCTGATGCTGTAACCATGTCTCAGACCTTGACCTGGGTGGGAGCCGGTTCCATGTCTGTGTCCAGGATTTTCTGCCCCAAGAGATTGAAGGCCATTGATGTCAATGATATGATGTTCCATGATATGATGGCACATACCACTCATGTTTTCCTCGCTATGTTTAATTGTGGCAGGTTATATATCTAACTTTTAATGCATTTGGAGTTCATTTTTGTGTATGGAATTAGAGTGATCCAAATTCATTCTTTTTGGCGTGACCTTCTGGCTTCCCCAGCACCATTTATTAAAGACTCTGTATATGCCCCCCATTATATGGTTCATTTATATCATATGATCAGGCAGGTAATGAGGGGCCTGCTCACTTCTGTGACCACTTCCCCGGCCAGTCAGTGCTTTTCATTCATTCATTCCTTCATTCACGCCCCCATCTCCCTCTCCATTCTCTCTGGATGGGATCCCTGTGAAGCACATTGTAATGAGCGCAGAGTCAGAGCATTTACCTTCATGGGGTTAACATCTACTTGAGAATCAAACCCGTACAGGTACTAGAAACTCCATCGAGCCTAAATTCACCCACTAAGGGCACAGGCAAGCAGGAGGGTTTATCAGAAGGAGGCTGAGCTCCACAGCAGAGGAGGGAGAGCTCCTGGGGAGCAGGTGTGGGGTCACAGCCCACAGCAGGAGTGAGCCTCCTCTGGAAGGAAGGGTCCATGTCCAGGCAGGGAAACAGACCCAGTCTCTGAGATGAGAAGGGACACAAGTGAGGGAGGAGGGGGGCTGGGGCAGAGAGGCCAGGGGAGCTGTGCAAGATAAAATCAGCAGCCACAGGGGCATTGGCCCCAAGGCTCTGAGTCAGGTCAGGACAACTGAGACTGCTGTGCATGCGACTCCCTCCCCAGGAAAACACCACCTGCAGCAATCCAAGTGCTCCAGGGTTCCTGAGCTAAAAGTTTGCAAAGGGCTCTGCTGAGACCTAGGGTCCAGACCCCTCTGCCTTCTTGTGCAGAGAGGAGCTGAGCCTGCAGCACTGTGCATCTTTGCTGGCACAGAAGTACACAGATGTCTGGTTGGGGGTGGCAGACTCCAGCGTGAGCAGGAAGTTGTTCTGTTTTAGTCTGGAGACGATGTACCCATGGTGGATGTCTCCTTTGTCTGTATTATTGACATCAAAGGAGTAATAGATCAGCCTCAGCCCAAGTTCTGGGTCCTGGCGATACCAGTACATGTAGTCGTGTTTCATATCCTGGACACAACTCAGGTTCCCACGCTGTCTTTTCATCAGGATCTGGAATCTGGGGCTCTGAGAGACCCCAGCCTTTACCACACCTGTGCACAAGGAGATGAAGCTGATGGAGCCGCAGACACAAAAGAGAGGCTGAGCACTGAGGCCTTGACCATGTCCCCCAGGACAGGGGCCCCGCCCAGGACTCACCTGCCTGCAGGAGACCCCAGACCCCCCAGCATAGCAGGGGGAAGCTCATGGCAGGGACAGGAGACTGAGGGTGCTGGAGTGATGCAGGTGCTGAGAAGGGAGTGGGGTTGTGCAGGGAGTGTTGTGAGATGTCACAGCCCTCCTGGCCCAGGGCAAACCTGTGACAGGGCCACGCCCCTTCCCTGGCTCCTGTGACAAATGTCCAGTGGGCAGCTCAGAGTGGGACAAACATCATTTGAATCCATGCAGTCTCACAAGTATATGAACTCTCCATCAGTCAGTTACAGCTTCAAGTAGATTTCACTTCCATGGTGTGATGCATCACAACAAACTGACTCTATTCATGTAAATTCACCTTTAGAAAACATCCTGATCTAATCCTGGTAATTTTTATGAACTTTGTCCCAGACGGTCCCAATACTCTGAAGATCAAGAGAGACTCATCCTGTCACTGACCTTCCCCTGGGAAGGATTCCCCTGCTCTCTGTTCCACAGCTCAGGGCTGGCCATTAGGACTTCATTACAACACCCTTTTCTCTGTTTCTTGTCAAGTCCCTGACATGGACACTGGCCAGGGCAGCTGGAGACTGTCCTGCCCCGGAGCCCAGCCCCGTGTGTGGAGGGGCAGCAGCAGCAGACAAACCTCACATGTCACTGCCCCTCCCTGGGGAGAAAGTGGGAGCTCAGAGCTCACAGGACCCCAGGAGCACAGCCGGGGAGGGTGACTCCAGGATGAAGGGAAATGTTCTCTTTTCCTTGGGTCATCCCATGCCACAAGGATGTCTCCTCAAGGAGAACAACTGGCACTGAGTGATACAGAAGTGGACAGGAGGGTGTTTGTGCTCTGGGCTGCTGCTCCTGCGGGGCTGTGCCCAGCTGTAGGCACAGAGATACAGCAGCCCCCAGCTCCACGGGCATCAGGGTGAGCTCAGAGCGATGGCCTGAACTGCTCAGCTGTGAATCATTGAGGGAGACTTCCTTTTTCTTGCTGTTTTCCATCGTAATACTGAACTGGGAACTTGGGGCCCTGGCCTGGGGTCTGCTGGTACAAGTATATAGACTCATGTCCAGTCTCATAGGAACATCTCAGGGTCACATTCTGTCCTCTTGCTGTGACCAGATGCTTAGGGTTCTGCGTGACTTCGGAGTCCACTGGGCCTGTGGGAGGAGACACACAGGAGCTGAGGCAGAGCCAGGGGAAGCCTCTGCTCAGCCATTACCGGGGCAGGCTGGTCAGCAGGCAGCTGAGCCCTCCTGGTCTCCCCAGGCTGCCAGGACCCACCTGCTAGCAGGAGACTAAGAGCCACACAGCAGAGGAGCCTGGAACCCATGGCAGCCTCAGGTCCTGGCAGCTCCTGGCTCAGGGGGGTCTGAGTTAGTCACCTCCTGGGCCCTGATAGGGCACTTGCTGCTGATGTCACTGCTGAGACTTCACTGCCCTGCAGTTCCTCTCCCTGCAGGACTCCCCTGGCTGGCTGCACCTTTAACAGGACCCAAGGCTGGTCACTCTCTGTCCATTCCTGTCTGCACAACCCACACGTGGGTGGTTGTGGGCTTAGCCCCTCCCCATATACCCACAAACACACCTTCTCCTCTGCCTGTCCTGCCTGCTGCTAGTTTCCCTTCCCTTGTCCCCCAACTCCTTAACCTCCACTTCCTGTGCAGGTGCAGGGAGCTGCCTCCTTGGTACAGGCTGAGGTCCAGGCCCACATCTGCTACCCTGGACAGGGGAGTCTCTGTTGCTCCTGGTGTTCTGGGACCTTCCAGAGACTCAGTCCTCCTCCCTGACAAGGCATGTGGCCAAGACTCCCCTTCAGCTGGGCCTTCCTGGACACTGTTCCCCCTCTGGTGTAACCCACATCCCTGAGCCCACAGCGCCTCCCAGTGGCCACAGGTCCTCAGGCCCATGGATTCCCCTCTGGTGTGTGAGCCAGAGCAGACAGTCCCCAGCCACCCAGGTGCCCAGCTCTCCATTTACTGCTCTCTGGCTGAAGATTTAAGCTTCACCTTTAATTCCACCATATTTGTGTGAGTCGGTGTATGAACCAGCATTTCGATTAAGAAGGGAATATTTTTTATATCTTTGCAATTAGTATGTGATGATGGACAAATACTCTGTGATGGACCAGCCACAAAAACAACTTGGTTCTAACCACAGCTCCTCCTGATTCATGAAATCTAAATATTTCCTCATTTTTTTTTTACCAGTTATTCCTGAATGTTAGATACTGCAGTTTTAGAGAGGATTTATATATTTTACACAAAATTTCTGACTTTATGAATCCTTAAAATATGCCAGCCCAAACTAACACATGCAGCTAGGACTAGAGTCCTTATATTTAATTCCCTTAACCTATAGACATCCTTGTTCTTTTCTTTTATATCCTATCCCTAACCTGAATATATATCTCACTATCAGCATTACATTAGAAGATTTTAAATTTTATGTATTTTACATTATAAATTCCCACAGCAGAGATGTAAGGCTTATACGCACTAATGCACAGATGCTCGTCCCACAAGAGAACATTCTATGCAAGCTCTTAACACACTCTCTCTGCCTCGTGCTCACTCACGTTCACACACGGGAGCTCAGGCTGGGAGGCCAGGACCTGAGTGTGAAACCCCACGCAGAGTCTTTGCATCAGAGAATTGCTCATGATCAGTGAATGAAGACGAGCAGGGGCAAAAGTCATAGTTTACTATTTATTTCCGAGTCTTTCAGAGTAAAATCTCTCTCCCCTGAGTCCCGGGCTCTCATGTCAGTAGACCAGCACGTTGTGTGAGTCCCAACTTAACCCGCAGGCGGGATGTTGTCAGGGGGATCAGGCCTGGGTTGGGAGATGCAGGCTGAGCGCATGTGCACCCCGGGCACAGGAGGCCAGGCCTCGGCCTCCCTGGACGTGGCAGATATGGCCTGAGAGTCTGAGGGGCTCAGAGGGTGACTGTGGTCAGAGGAGGGAGGACAGTCGGGGATTGTCCTCCATCCTATAGATGTTTGTGTGTTTCCCTACCCTGGCTTGGGCAGGGCCTCCATAAGGGGCAAGGTCACCGGCTCCCCAGAGGGCAGGCTGGTCCTCAGCACTAATCTACCTTTCATGAGTCAACAGATCACAGAGGACATCAACTCCCATCAAGGACTAGCAGAGAAGCAAAAGAAAGTTACCATCTCAGCCAAGGAGAAGCAAAGCCTTTGAGCCAAGCATGATCACCAGTAACCAAGGACACAGCTGACCCAGAGGCATGCTGGTGTGACTCATCACCTGGGTTCACACTGCCCAGGGCCTCAGGGCTCCAGGGTTCCCTGTTCTGGGTCAGCAAAGGGCATGATGAGTCCTGGGGTGCTGGCCCCGCTTTCTTGTGCAGAGAGGAGGTGAGCCTGCAGCGCTGTGCATCACTGCTGGCACAGAAGTACACAGCCGTCTGGGAGGTGGTGGCAGACTCCAGCGTGAGCAGGAAGTTCTTTTTATTTGGTCTGGACACATTGTACCCTTTGGGGATGTCACCTTCATTTATACTCTTGGAGGTAATGGAGTAATAGATCAGCCTCAGCCCGAGTCCCGGGTCCTGGCGATACCAGTACATGTAGTTGTAGTTCATTTCCTGGACACAACTCAAGTTCACCCTCTGTTCTGTCCTCAGGACCTGGAATCTGGGGCTCTGAGATACCCCAGCCTTCACCACACCTGTGCACAAGGAGATGAAGCTGATGGAGCTCCAGACACAACGGAGAGGCTGAGCACTGAGGCCTTGACCATGTCCCCCAGGCAGGGGCCCCACCCAGGACTCACCTGCCTGCAGGAGACCCCAGAACCCCCAGAATAGGAGGGAGACACTCATGGCGGGGACAGGAGACTAAGGGTGCTGGGGCTGTGGGTGCTGATGAGAGTGGAGTGGGGCTGTAAGGGAGTATTGTGAGATGTCACACCCAGGGCCAACCTGTGACAGGGCCACGCCCCTCTCTGGGCTCCAATGACAGATGTCCAGTGAGCAACTCAGAGTGGGAGGAACAGCATCTGAATCCAGGGCTCCCAGGGGGTCTGAACTTTCAGTCAGTCAGTAGATAGTTGCATGTAGATTTCATTCAGATGCTGTAACTCTTCATAATACATCACCAGGGCAGGCTGGTCAGCAGGCAGCTGAGCCCCACCCAGGCTCCCCACGGTGCCAGGACCCACCTGCTCCCAGGAGACAAAGGGCCACACAGCAGAGGAGTCTGGAGCCCATGGCAGCCTCAGGCCCTGGCAGCTCCTGGCTGAGTTAGTCACCTCCTGGGTCCTGATTGGGCACTTGCTGCTGATGTCAGTGCTCTGATGTCACTGCCCTGCTGTTCCTCTCCCTGCTGGACTCCCCTGGCCTGCTGTGCCTTTAACCAAGCCCAAGGCTGGTCACTCTGTCCATGCCTTGTTGCACAGCCCATGTGGTGGGTGTGGGCTCAGTCCCTCCCCATATGCCCAAAACCACCTGTTCTCCTCTGCCTGCCCCTCCTGTCAACAGTTGCACAGCATGTGACCCCCTACCTTCTTCACTCTCCAATCCAGTGCAGACTGTGGTCAAGGCCGTGTCCACCTCCCTGGGTGAGGAGTCTCAGTCTCTCCAGGGGTCCTGGGACCTCCCAGTGACTCAGTTCCCCTGTCTGACAAGGCATGTGGCCAAGACTCCCCTTTGATGGGCTCTCCTGAGCACTGTCTCCCCCTTTGGTGTAACCCACATCTGTGGGCCCACAGCACCTCCCAGTGGCCACAGATCCTCAGGCCCATGGATTCCCCTCTCGGGAGGGAATCAGAGCACACTTTTCTCCTCCAACCAGGTGCCCAGCTCTCCATTTACTGCTCTCTCAGCCTGGCTGCCTTAAGGCTGATCTTTATCCACCCTGAGATTTTGAAAACTCATTTATGAACCAGCATTTTGGTTAAGAAGGGAGTGACTATTACACCACTGCAATTAATATGTGATAGTGGAAAACACCTTGCAGAGATGCAGGCCATGAAAACTATTTTTCCAAACGCAGCTCCTCCTAATCACACAGGAGATGAAAGACTGTCCCTGAGGGCAATTCCCCTGCTGGAGTCCAAAAGGCCAAGAATTGAGCCAAGGGTGTGTCTGAGATGAGATCTCATCCTGCTGTCTCCACTGGCCCCTCGCTCTGACCAGAGCTCCTGGTGTCAGGCTACTCTAGCACCACAGAAGCTCATGAAGAATCAGAGCCCCCCACTGCCTATGGGGGAGTCTGTGTGCCCCCTCAATGAGAAATTTCCTAGTTAGGGTCTGGAAATATGATCCAAGTACCACTGTTGGGGGACAATTCACCTGGGACATGTGTGACTCACTCAACTGGGTTCACACCAGTTGAGTTGAACCCTCTCAGGATTCCCTGAGCTCAGAGTCTGCAAAGGGCTCTGCTGTTTCCCAGGGTGCAGGGCCCTTCCTTCTTGTGCAGAGAGTTGGTGAGCCTGCAGCACTGTGCATCACTGCTGGCACAGAAGTACACAGATGTCTGGGAGGGGGAGGCAGACTCCAGCGTGAGCAGGAACTTCTCCTTTTTTGGTCTGAAGACATTATACCCATTGGGGAAGTCTCCTTTGTCTTTGGATCCAAAAGTATATGAGTAATAGATCAGCCTCAGCCCAAGTCCTGGGTCCTGCCGATACCAGTACATGGACTCATGGTTCATATCCTGGACACAACTCAGGTTCCTGCTCTGTCCTGTCCTCAGGATCTGGAATCTGGGGCTCTGAGAGACCCCAGCCTTCACCACACCTGTGCACAAGGAGATGAAACTGTTGGAGCCGCAGACACAACAGAGAGACTGAGCACTGAGGCCTTGACCGTGTCCCCCAGGACTCACCTGCCTGCAGGAGACCCCAGACCCCCCAGCACAGGAGGGGGACACTCATGGCAGGGACAGGAAACTGAGGGTGCTGGGGCTGTGGGTGCTAAGAAGGGACTGAGGCTGTGAGGGAGTGTTGTGAGATGTCACAGCCCTCCTGGCCCAGGGCCAACCTGTGACAGGGCCACGCCCCTCCCCGGGCTCCAATGACAAGTGTCCAGGGCAGCTCCGAGTGGAGAGTGTTTTCCTAAATGACCTAAGTGTTAATCTTTGCTCAACTCTTTGTAAATCAGTGTGAAAGTTTATGTGTGTGTATATATATACACATATATATATATGTATATATATATAATGATATTATTCTTCACATCACATTGGTCTCATTATATTTACATCTTTAAAACTTAGTAAAAATGTTTGTTGGATCCTGATGTGAGCTATGGCAGGTGAGTTCCAAATAATCCAAGATTTTTTCTGGCATCCAGTGACCCGGTCCTGCTTCTGTCCTTCGGTCTTTAGTGGTGCCACTGCTGTCTGTTCCCCAAACCCCAGGGTAGGATCATCAACATTTCAGGCTCATTTTCCTGTTTCTATTTTTTTTTAAAAGATTCATTTATTCATGCATACAAGAACCGGGGTACAGGCCAGATGCGCGGGAGAGCAAGAGGATTCACCAGAGACAGAGTGGGCAACAGAACAGGCAAACTGACTGAAATACCCTGCTGAGGGGAGCAGCAGGTGAGACAGGAGAGGTCTGCTGCGCCATGTGGGTAGCTCTCCAGCTGCCAGGGATTGAACCCGCACTGCAGAGGCTGCAGACAGCTTCACAGTGCTGAGCTCAACCGCCTGCGCCACGGGGGAGGCCCACGTTTAGCTGTTTCTTACAAGTCACTGACTTGGCACACTGGCTCGGCAGCTGGAGACCATCCTGCCCCAGAGTCCTGCACAGTATGTGGAGGGGCAGTGGCCACAGACACACCCAGCAGGTCACTCTCCTTCCTGGGGGATCAGTGGGTGCTCAGAGCTCACAGGACGTCCTGCCCAGGAGCACAGGTGGGGAGGGGCTCAGAGGAAGGGCAGATCCAGGGAGATGGAAAATGTTCTCTTTTCGTCTGGAACATCCCATGTCACGGGGGCATCTACCTGCAGAAATGCTGTCACTGACTGATAAATGGACGGGGGTGACAAAACGGAATCCCGACCTCAGAGGACCTGGGTCAGCTCAGATCTGCGGCCCTGACCTCCACGTTCTGAATCAGGGTTGAGCCTTGGCCCACACCATGCAGCCGGTGCTGAGGCCATGACCTTGTGTTTCTGAGGTTCCTGCGGGTGTGCCGGGTCCCTGGGCCTCCAGTTCCTGTCCTGGGTGTGAGATGTCAGCATCCCAGGGGCCAGAGAGAAGGACACAGACCCTGAGCCCAGAATCACAGGAGGAGCCTGATGTTGGAAACTCAAGTCCAGGCCCTGGCCTGCAGCCTGGAACACCAGGATGTCATGGTGGAAAACACCGTGCAGAGATGCAGGCCATGAAAACCATGTTTCCAAAAGCAGCTCCTCCTCATCTAGACGAGATGAACGACTGTCCCTGAGGACGAGTCCCCTGTTAGAGTCCAAAAGACCAAGAATTGAGCCAAGGGTGTATGTCTGAGACAAGGTCTCATCCTGCTGTCTCCACTGGCCCCTCGTTCAAACCAGAGCTCCTGGTGTCCAGGCTACTCCAGCATCACAGAAGCTCATGAAGAGACAGAGCCCCCCACTGCCTATGGGGGAGTCTGTGTGCCCCCTCGATGAGAAATTTCCTAGTTAGGGTCTGGAAATATGATCTAAGTATCACGGTTGGGGGACAAGTCACGCTGGCCTGGTGTACAGGGGATACACCAACTTTACCTACTAAACATTATTTGAGGGGAAGAAAGTGGTGAAGGCCAAGTCAAGGGTGACACCGTGTGAGCAGATGTCAGGCCTGAGGATCCACGCTGGGCTAGTAGGTGTTGCGCTACCAGGTGGAGGGAATCGGCATTTCCCAGATACCATTTCCGTTACATCCTGGTCTAGAGTGTGTCAAGGAGGGACTTGTGCAAACTTCATTATGTGGAGTCACAGCATTTGCCTTATAAGATTAACATTGAGTGAAGATGAAAAATAAGCAGACAAAAAGCTGGAAAATTTCACCATTCTACCATTAAGTCCACAGGCTCCACAAGAGCCGAACACAAGGTCCCGAGCTCCTTGGTGGGGAGGGAGAGTGCCTGGGGAGCAGGTGTGGGGCTGCGCTGCCCATAGCGGGAGTGAGCCTCTTCTGGAAGGGAGGGTCCATGTCCAGGAGGGGAAACAGACCCAGACTCTGAGATAAGAAGGGGTGATGGGTGAGGACAGGGGGCTGGAGCAGAGAGGCCAGGTGAGCTGTGCAAGCTTAATCAGTAGCCACGGGGGCATCTGTCCCCAGGGCAGCTGAGGGGTGACTCACTCACCCACGTTCACACCGACTGCAGGGACCCCCTACTGCAGGGTTCCCTGAGCTCAGAGTCTGCAGAGGGCTCTGCTGAGTCCCAGAGTGCAGGGCCCCCGCCTTCTTGTGCAGAGAGGAGCTGAGCTTGCAGCTCTGTGCATAGCTGGTGGCACAGAAGTACACAGCTGTCTGGGAGGAGGTGGCAGACTTCAGCATAAGTAGGCAGTTGTCCTTATTTTTTCTGGAGACATTGTACCCCTCGGTGATGTCTCCATTATATAAGGTACCAGAAGCATAGGTAAAATAGATGAGCCTCAGTCCGAGTCCTGGGTCCTGGCGATACCAGTACATGTAGTCGTGGTTCATATCCTGGACACAACTCAGGTTCCTGCTCTGTCCTGTCCTCAGGATCTGGAATCTGGGTTCCTGAGAGACCCCAGCCTTCACCACACCTGTGCATAAGGAAATGAAGCTGATGGAGCCGCAGACACAACGGAGCGGCAGAGCACTGAGGCCTTGACCGAGTCTCCCAGGACAGGGGCCCCGCCCAGGACTCACCTGCCTGCAGGAGACCCCAGACCCCCCAGCACAGGAGGGGGACGCTCATGGCAGGGACAGGAGACTGCTGGTGCTGGAGCTGTGGGTGCTGATGAGAGGGGAGCGGGGCTGTGAGGGAGTGTTGTGAGATGTCACAGCCCTCCTGGCCCAGGGCCAACCTGTGACAGGGCCACGCCCCTCCCCGGGCTCCAGTGACAAGTGTCCAGGGCAGCTCCGAGTGGAGAGTGTGTTACTCTAACGAACTAGTCTTATACATTGCTCTGTCTGCTTGTAAATCAGTGTGAAACTTTGTATTATTTCTTCCTGTGATATTAATTTTCACCACATACTGGTCTCTTCATCTAATTATTTCTATAGTTCTGAAACTTTAAAAAATACAGAGTCACAGCAACTGCCCTTGCAACATTAAATTTTGAATAAAGGTGAAAAATAATCAGATAAGCTGTAAACTTTCAACTCAGCATCACGGTCACCTGCTCCATCCAGGGCCTCACCCACTTGGAGGACAGGCACCCATGAGATCTTAGAACAAGGGACTGACCTCCAAGGACAGGGAGAGTGTCCTGCCCGCGTGTGAAGGGGCAGCAGCAGCAGACACACCTGACGTGTCACTGCCCTCCTTGGGGAGTCAGTGGCTGCTCAGGGGACCTCCTGCCCAGGAGCACAGGTGAGTGTGGGGCTCAGGGGAGGGGCAGAATCCAGGACAACTGGATAATGTTCTCTTTTTATTGGGTGATCCATGTCACGGGGCTCTCCTTGTGCAGAGCGATTGTCACTAGTGAGTGATGAGTATACCGGGGTCACGGGTGCTCAGGGGCACGGAACCCCCTCCTTAGAGGACTGGAGTCTGCCCAGGTCTGTGGCCGTGATCTTCATGTTCTGAATCAGGTTTGAGCCTCAGGCCCACAGATCATGCAGCTAGTCCTGAGGCTGTGACCTTGTGTTTCTCATCTGCGGTACCCAAGGGGGTGCCGTGTCCCTGGGGCGTCAGCTCCTGTACTGGGTCTGGGGAAGTCAGCAAACCTGGGCTACAAGGAGCCGTGCAGCCAGAGTCAGAGGAGCAGCCTGTTGAGGACACTGCTCACACGTGTATAATAAGCCAAATTATACTGATGGATTGATAGGGTGATGAGCAGTAAATTGCTTGATCTTCTTTGTGCAGCTAATCTAGGCCTGGAAGGGAAGACAGATGAGGGTCCATTCTACCTGGGAGTATGGGGTGGGAAGCACAGGTGTTCAAAGCCGACTTGAGTTTGTAACCTCCCTGCAGCAGTTCTGAAATAGAACCAGGGAAGGACACTTCCAAAAGGTAATAAATTAGTAAAATAAACTTATGTGACTGTATTCCACGTGATCGGGTATGGCATGCAGGAACCCCAGAGACAGCATCCTGCCCCCAGGGCTAACCTCCAGCTCCAGCCCCGCCCTCCCCTCACTTCCTGAGCTGGGCTGGAGGGTGTTTGTGCTCTGGGCTGCTGCTCTTGCAGGGCTGTGCCACACTGCTGGCACAGAGATACAGGGCCGTGTCCCCAAGCTCCACGGAGCTTGTGTTCAGCCTAGAGCTATGAAGGCCTGTGAACTGCTCAAATTTGAATCGTTGAGGGGACTTCCTTTATCTTGCTCTTTTCCATTGAAATATCGAACCAGGAACTCGGGGCTGTGGCCCGGGGCCTGCTGGTGCCAGTACACAGACTGGTGTTTTGTGTCATAGGAACATGTCAGGGTCACGTTCTGTCCTCTCTCTGTGACCAGATACTTAGGGGTCTGCATGACCAGAGTCCACTGGGCCTGTGGGAGGAGACACACAGGAGCTGTGGCAGAGCCAGGGGAAGTCTCTGCTCAGCCATGACCAGGGTAAACTGGTCACAAGGCAGCTGAGGCCCTCCCGGACTCCCCAGGGTGCCAGGACCCACCCACTCCCAGGAGACAAAGGGCCACACAGCAGAGGAGCCTGGAGCCCATGGCGGCCTCAGGCCTGGCAGCTCCTGGCTCAGGGGGATCTGCGTTAGTCACCTCCTGGGCCCTGATTTGCACCTGTCGCTGATGTCACTGCTCTGACGTCAATGCTCTGCTGTTCCTCTCCCTGCAGGACTCCCTGGCCTGCTGCGCCTTTAGCAGGACCCGAGGTTGGTCACTCTCTGTCCATTCCTGTCTGCACAGCCTCACACGGGTGGGTGTGGGCTCAGCCCCTCCCTCTGCCCACAAACCTCTGATCTCCTCTGCTTCACACCAATTACCCAGCCCGTGAGCCCCCAACTCCTTCACCCTCAGGTGCATGGAGCTGTCTCTATGGTTCATACTGAGGTTAAGGCCCATGTCCATTTCCATGGGCAGAGGAGTCTTATCACTTCAGGGTTTTGACCTCCCAGAGTTCAATCCACATGCCTGACAGAGGTATTCAGCTGTGACTTCCCTTCAGCCTGGCCATCCAGGGCTCTGTCCCCCTCTGGTGCAGCCCCACATCTGTGGGCCCACAGTGCCTCCCAGTGGCCACCGGCCCATAAGCTCACAGATTTATGTTCACTGTCTTTTTTTTTTTTTTTTTTTTTTTTTTTTTAATTTATACGAGAACCGGGGTACAAGCCAGATGCGTGGGCAGGTGAAAGGATTCACCAGAGACAGAGCGGGGAAAAACAGGTAGACTGATGAAATACACTGCTGTGTAGGGCAGCGGGCAAGACAGGAGAGGTCTGCTGTACCATGTGGGACCCTCACTGGCCGGGTTCAAGCCGGAGCTGCAGAGGCTGCGGACAGCTTCACAGTGCAGCGCTCAACCGCCTGCGCCACAGGGGAGGCCCTGTGTTTTCTGTCTTTACCAGAACAGAATTTTAGTCTGAACCACTCTGAATTTTACTCTGAACATGACGTGTAGCCCCAACTTTAACACCGACAAAAAATGAGCATTTACATTGGCAGCCTGGCTGATGTAGGGTCCCCTTCAAGGAACCCATAGCCTGGGAACCAAAGTGTATGAACCAGAATTGGATTAATGCAAAAAAAATCTTGCACCATGACAATTAGTATAGTCAGTGGATGAGAAAAGACAGAAGAATTCAGGTTGTAGATTACAAGGTGTATGGTTCCTGTGGATTCTACATGGAACACTACTTTCCATTGCCACCAGGGGTGTCACTCACTCACCCGGTTCACACATTGGGCGGGGACCCCAGGGCTGCAGGGCTCCCTGTGCTGACAGTGTACAAGAGCTCTGATGAGCCCCGGGGTGCAGGGCCCCCAACTTCTTGTGCAGAGAGGAGGTGAGCCTGCAGCACTGTGCATAGCTGGTGGCACAGAAGTACACAGCTGTCGTTGAGCGGTTGGCAGACCCCAGCGTGAGCAGGAAGTTGTTTTTGTCTGGTCTAGAGACCTCGTACCCATCGGGAATGTCTCCCGTGGCTTTGGCATTAGGACCCGATGAGTAGTAGATCAGCCTGAGCCCGAGTCCTGGGTCCTGGCGATACCAGTACATGTAGTTGTGCCCCATATCCTGGACACAACTCAGGTTCCTGCTCTGTCCTGTCTTCAGGATTTGGAATCCGGGGATCTGAGAGACCCCAGCCCTCACCACACCTGTGCACAAGGAGATGAAGCTGATGGAGCCGCAGACACAAAGGAGAGGCTGAGCACTGAGGCCTTGACCGTGTCCCCCAGGACAGGGGCCCTGCCCAGGACTCACCTGCCTGCAGGAGACCCCAGACCCCCCAGCACAGGAGGGGACGCTCATGGCAGGGACAGGAAACTGAGGGTGCTGGGGCTGTGGGTGCTGGTGAGAGGGGAGCGGGGCTGTGAGGGAGTGTTGTGAGATGTCACAGCCCTCCTGGCCCAGGGCCAACCTGTGACAGGGCCACGCCCCTCCCCGGCCCCCAATGACAAGTGTCCAGGGCAGCGCCGAGTGGAGAGTGTGTTACTCTAAGTGACCTAAGTCTTATATTTTGCTCTGTTTGTAAATCAGTGTGAAACTTTATATTATTTCTTCCTGTGATATTATTTTTCACCTCACACTCGTCTCTTCATCTAATATTTCTATAATTTTTTTTTAAATGTTATCATCTTTTTTAAAATTTTTTTTTAGATTTATTTATTTATACAAGCACTCGGTACAGTCAGAGGCGTGGGAGGGTGAGAGAATTCACCAGAGCCAGAGCGGAGAGAAGAATAGGCAGAGTGACAAAGTACACTGCTGAGGGGAGCAGCGGGCGGCAGGAGAGGTCTGCGCCATGTGGGACCCTCACCCGGCGTCCGGAATGGAACCGGAGCTGCAGAGGCCGCGGGCAGCTTTGTAACCCAGTGCTCAACCGCTGCGCCACTGGGGAGGCCCGATTTCTATTGTTTTCAAACTTTAAAAAATATATGTAGCACCTTGATGTGCACGAGAGCTGGAGGGTCCAAATCATCCAAGAGTTTTTCTGCATCTTAGTGGCCAGTCCCACTTCTCTCCTTCCATCCAAACGGCGCCGCTGCCGTCTGGATCATCAACATTTCAGACTCACTTTGCAGTTTCTTCCAAGTCACTGTATGGGACTCTGGCCGGGGCCGCTGCAGACTGTCCTGCCCGCATGTGGAGGGGCAGCAGCAGCAGACACACCTCACGTGTCACTGCCCTCCTTGGGGAGTCAGTGGCTGCTCAGGGGACCTCCTGCCCAGGAGCACAGGTGAGTGTGGGGTTCAGGGGAGAGGCAGAATCCAGGAGGACTGGATAATGTTCTCTTTATTGGGTGATCGCATGTCTCGGGGCTCTCCTTGTGCAGAACAATTATCACTAGTGAGTGATAAGTATAGCCAGGGTAACAGGTGCTCAGGGGCACGAACCCCCTCCTTAGAGGAATGGAGTCAGCCCAGGTCAGTGGACGGGATCTTCATTTTCTGAATCAGGTTTGAGCCTCAGGCCCACAGATCATGCAGCTGGTCCTGAGCCGTGACCTTGCGTTTCTCATCTGGGGTCCTTAAGGGGGTGCGAGGTCCCTGGGGCATCAGCTCCTGTCCTGGGTCTGGGGGAGTCAGCATATGTGGGCTACAAGGAGCCGTGCAGCCAGAGTGGGAGGAGCAGCCTGTTGAGGACTCTGCTCACACATCTACAAATAAGCCAAATAACACTGATGGATTGATGGGGTGATGAGCAGTAAAATGCTTGATCCTCCCTGCATGGCTAATCTGGGCCTGGAAGGGGAAGCCAGATGAGGGGTGATTCTACCTGGGGGGGCGGTGGGAAGCACAGGTGTTCAAAGCAGACTTGAGTTTGGTTCCTCCCCGCAGCATCTCTGAAATCAAACCAGGGAAGGACACTTCCCACAGATAATAAGGTAGTAAAATAATACTTCTGTTGGTGGTTTTCTTCTCATCACATATCATACACAGGAGCCCAGAGACACTCCTACTCCCCAGGGCTGAGCCTCCTGCCCCGCCCCGCCCTCCCCCTCACTTCCTGAGCTGGGCAGGAGGGTTTTTGTGCTCTGAGCTGCTGCTCCTGCAGGGCTGTGCCAAGCTGCTGGCGCAGAGATACAGGGCCGAGTCCCCAAACTCCACGAGGCTCATGTTCAGCTCAGAGCTATAATCGTCTTCCAACTGCCCAAATTTGAATCGTTGAGGGAAACTTTCTTTTTCTTGCTCTTTCCCACCATAATACCGAACCAGGAACGCTGGACCCTGGCCCAGGGCCTGCTTGTACCAGTACACATTCGTGTGTTCTTTCTCATAGGAACATGTCAGGGTCACGTTCTGTCCGCTTGCTGTGACCAGATACTTGGGGTTCTGTGTGACTTCAGAGTCCACTGGGCCTGTGGGAGGAGACACACAGGAGCTGAGGCAGAGCCAGGGGAAGCCTCTGCTCAGCTATCACCAGGGCAGGCTGGTCACCAGGCAGCTGAGGCCCTCCAGGGCTCCCCAGGGTGCCAGGACCCACCTGCTCCCAGGAGACAAAGGGCCGCACAGCAGAGGAGCCTGGAGCCCATGGCGGCCTCAGGCCCTGGTAGCTCCTGGCTTGGGGGGGGGGGGGTGTCTGAGTTAGTCACCTCCTGGGGCCTGATTGGGCACTTGCCGCTGATGTCACTGCTGCGATGTCACTGCCCTGCTGTTCCTCACCCTGCAGGACTCCCCTGGCCTGCTGTGCCTTTAGTAGGACCCAAGGCTGGTCACTCTTTGTCCATTCCTGTCTGCACAGCCTCACGTGGTTGTGTGTGGGCTCAGCCCCTCTTCATAGGCCCACAAACTTCTGATCTCCACTGCCCGTCTCTCCTCACACCAGCCCATGATCCCCCAACTCCTTCACCCTCTGTTTCCTTTGCAGGTGCTGGAGCTGCCCCACTGGTGGCTACTGAAGTTCAAGGCCCATGTTCATTTCCATGGGCAGAGGAGACTTATCATTCCAGGTCCTTGTCCTCTCAGTGTTCGATCCACCTGCCTGGCTAGGTATTTAGTTGAGACTTCCCTTCAGCTGGGCCCTCCTGGGCTCTGTCCCCCTCTGGTGCTTCCCTACATCTGTGGGCCCACAGCGCCTCTTAGTGGCCACCGGCCCATGAGCTCATAGATTCATGTTTTCTGTCCTAATTAGAACAGACCTTTATTCTGAACCACTCTGAATTTTACTCTGACATGTGATCCCAACGTTCCCATCTACAGAAATGAGCATTTTACATTCCCCTCCTGGCCGATGCAGGGTCCCCTCTATGCATCCATAGCCCGGGACCAAGAGTGTATGAACCAGACTTGGATTAAGGCAAAAAAAAATATGTACCATGACAATTAGTACAGTCAGTGGATGAGAAAAGACAGAAGAATTCAGCTTGTAGATTATGAGGTCTATGGTTCCTGTGGATTCTACATGGAAACACTATTTTCCGTTGCCACCAGGGCTGTGACTCACTCACCCGGGTTCAAGCTTCGGCGGGGACCCCAGGGCTTCAGAACTCACTGTGCTGACAGTGTACAAGTGCTCTGATGAGCCCAGGGGTGCAGAGCCCCATTCTTGTGCAGAGAGGAGGTGAGCCTGCAGCGCTGTGCATAGCTGGTGCACAGAAGTACACAGCTGTCTGGGAGGGGGTGGCAGACTCCAGCGTGAGCAGGAACTTGGCTTTGTCTGGTCTAGAGACCTTGTACCCATCAGGGATGTCTCCTTCGGCGCTGAGATTAATATTTGCTGAGTAATGGAGAAGCCTTAGCCCGAGTCCTGGGTCCTGGCGATACCAGTACATGTAGTCATAGTCCATATCCTGGGCACAGCTCAGCTGCCCACGCTGTTTTGTCCTCAGGATCTGGAATCTGGGGCTCTGAGAGACCCCAGCCTTCACCACACCTGTGCACAAGGAGATGAAGCTGATGGAGCTGCAGACACAATGGAGAGGCTGAGCATTGAGGCCTTGACCTTGTTGCCCAGGACTCACCTGCCTGCAGGAGACCCCAGACCCCCCAGCACAGGAGGGGGACGCTCATGGCAGGGACAGGAGACTGAGGGTGCTGGGGCTGTGGGTGCTGAGAAGGGAGTGAGGCTGTGAGGGAGTGTTGGGAGATGTCACAGCCCTCCTGGTCCAGGGCCAACCTGTGACAGGGCCACGCCCCTCCCGGGCTCTAAAGCAAAATGTCCAGTGAGTGGGAAGATGCATCTTCCTGGGTTGACACAAGTCATACAGTTTCTTCACCTCTGTGTCCAGTCAGTGTGTTGCTTTTCCTACGTGTCATTCCGGAGGTGAGTGTTCACATCACTCTGGTTTATTCCTCTTCAATATTTCTTTTTTTTTTTTTTTTT